ATGCCCAGCCCTACTTATCTAGGAATGAGACAATTGTTCGAATCCCCTGGAATGGAAAAATTTGCCCTCTTTTTCTTTATATCTAAACTCCTCAGGGCAAGGTCTCTGTATTTGTAATATTTACATATTTGTGTTTCAGGTTTTTTTGTTTGTTTTTTTAAGTTTGGTCTCAGTTGAGTTCCCGACACAGAACATCTTAGGCTTTTATATTAGTGCCCAACATGATAGTATCTGTGCTCTTTTTCCTCCCTTTCCTACAGTGCGATGTGTTCACGTATTAAAAATGTACTTGGAAACAGACTTATAGACCGAAATAATATGATGGACTCCTCGGCTAGATGCAATGGTATAAAATGGATTATTTCTTGTATTGTTCTCCAGATAGGTCAGATCCTACAAGCACTTAAGCACATGAGTAACATTGATTTCAGTGGGGTTACACACGTGAGTAAAGTTATACCGCTGCTTAAGAACGGAATTTTCAAAAGAGACTAGGGGCTTGTTGTCACTACTGTGCTAAATTGGTACCGCTGGTGCAGCAGTGCTGATTTAGCACGTCTGGTGAAGACGCATTCAATCGATGGGAGAGTGTTCTCTTGTTGGCGTAATTATTCCACCTCAATGAGAGGCGGAAGCTATGTCAATGGGAGAGCGTCTCCAGCCGACATAGCACAGTGTAGACACTGATTTAAGTCTATGTAAGTTACGTTGCTCAGAGAGATAGTTTTTTCACACCCCTGAGTGACATAACTTACATTGACTTAGGTGGTAGTGTACATAAGAACGGCCGTACTGGGTCAGACCAAAGGTCCATCTAGCCCAGTATCCTGTCTACCGACAGTGGCCAATGCCAGGTGCCCCAGAGGGAGTGAACCTAACAGGCAATGATCATGTGTTCTCTCTCCTGCCATCCATCTCCACCCTCTGACAAACAGAGGCTAGGGACACCATTCCTTACCCATCCTGGTTAATAGCCATTAATGGACTTAACCACCATGAATTTATCCAGTTCTCTTTTAAACACTGTTATAGTCCTAACCTTCACAACCTCCTCAGGCAAGGAGTTCCACAAGTTAACCGTGCACTGCGTGAAGAAGAACTTCCTTTTATTTGTTTTAAACCTGCTGCCTATTAATTTCATTTGGTGTATTGTGGGAATAAATAAATAACTTTTCCTTATCTACTTTCTCCACATCACTCATGATTTTATATACCTCTATCATATCCCCCCTTAGTCTCCTCTTTTCCAAGCTGAAGAGTCCTAGCCTCTTTAATCTCTCCTCATATGGGACCCCGTTCCAAACCCCTAATCATTTTAGTTGCCCTTTTCTGAACCTTTTCTAGTGCCAGTATATCTTTTTTGAGATGAGGAGACAAGCCCTACATGATTTAGAAGCTCAAGCCCCGTGACATCAATGTGATTTGTGCTCCTAAATCACTGGGGTACTTTAAAAATTGCCCCCTACATGCCTGCAGAGATTGGGCCCTATGTTTGTACAATCAAAGTCCTGTTAGATAACAGGTTGACACATTTAAAGGTTTCCACCTGTCTGAAAAATTCTATTAGTTCCAAAGATAAGGAATATCTTTAAAATGGGAAATTCCAATAGAACTGGTGACATCTTTTAAACCAGTGGAAATTTTTAAGACAACTTACTGGAGAAGAATCTCTAAAACATGCCTCAGACTCATCCCAATGAAGAAATATTTTAAAACAAAGTTTTAAATTGAAATAATAAAGCAAAACAAAAAGTGTGCACACCCACGAAAGCTGTTGAAAATAAGACAGGGTCTTTAAATATTTTAAACATCTTTCATAATCACCTCATTATAAAGGAGAATATTTCTGTCCAACAAATACAAGGAGCTGGTTTAGAATAATAATTAAAAATATATGACTCATGTTTTCTGCCGCAGGGTTTATTCTTCAGGAAAAGACTGTAGAGTACTTTAGAGAACTGTCTATGTTAATGATAGCTGATGTCCCATATCCCATAACAGTAGCCATGACCTTCATGCCTGCTGTGATTGACAGCCTGACCCCAATCACTCCAGGGTGCAAGGTAAGTGACAACCGAGGAAGAAAAAGAAAGAGAAAGAAAGAAAGTAAACTTGCTGCTGGCTTTGCAGCCAAACTTCCTAATAAAAACTCATTCAAACTGTCAGAGTGAAATGAAGAAAGTGTCAACTGGGGTTTTCAGAGAAATATTCAGTATGTTTGGATGGAAAAACACAACAGCTCCACTCCTTTCCCCTTGCCCAAACGCACCCCTCCAAAAAAAAAAAAAGGAATGAAAACTCCTAAGTCGAAAGGAATTTTAATAACTTCTCCTTGGGGAGCCCCTGAGGTGGTACCCAGGAGAACACTTTTCTTCCATTTTCTGACAAACCTAATCATCTTGGTACTGGTTAAGAGTACAAAGCGCTTAGCTGCACTCCTCCAAGGCAAGCACCACTGGCGGAGTTAAATGAATCCGATAGCTCTGTGAAACGGGACCATTTTGCAAAAAGAGCAGAGGGCAAGCTAGCTTCAGAAGCCTAAATATTTAATGGCAACCCACAGGTTAACACCTGGGAGGCCCACCAATAAGAGCATTCTGCCAGGAGATGATTAAACTCTGGGACTGACAGTGAGAAGGCAGCCACTGGGTCTCAGCTTCCATAGCAGGACACAGAGAGAATGGGGATTTCCCCAGGAACTGAAGCCCAGACCAAAACCGACAGCTATTCCATCCCTACAGAGCATTCTACAGACTCTGGAAAAGCGTAGCCTACAGGCGTCCCCAATAGCACTGTTGTAAAAGATCAGGCCATTGGTGTGATATCCAGCCTCCAGCAGGGCCCAGTACTTGAAGCTGCAAAAGATCAGGAACAGCCACATACTGCACAACACCTAGCTACCTATGTACTGTGCACGGGCATTAGGGGAGAAGGAACCCTTTCTTGCCCTCCCAGTGAGAATTCACCATTTATTTATGCACCTTCTGCAAGTTAAATATATTACTGTGCGTAAGCATGGCCCAACTTATAATTACTAGGTTGTATAATTGTTCTCCAGGCTTCCACAGACACAAAAACACTTGTGTAAATAGCACCAAGGCACCTGGGCAGGGAGGAAGGATAGTAAACAAAGAAATGTTGTAGGATATTTAAAAAATAGATTCAAATTTCATTTGTTTATTTATAAAATCCCATGGAAAAAAACTGAGACACAACTTGTTTGGGAGAAGGCAAATCTTCCAAAACCACAGAGCTCACGGAAAACATGTTCTGACAGCATCTGAGTATTCAGCTTAGCGTGCGTGTGATCCAGTATTTAGGTCAGAGAACTATAGGGTGGAATTCCTGAGTTTTATTCCTGGCTCTGGAACTGCAACATTGTGTGACCCTGGGCAAGTTTCTTGATCACTCTGGGCTTAGTTTAGAATTGGCATAAATACTACTTACCTTCCTCACTGGGGTGCTGGGAGGCTTGAATGGGAAACTTCTCCTATTTGATTTTTTTTTTTTTCATTCACTGAGAACTTTCTGCAAATCTAGACTCTCGGGTATAGCTCCTCCCTCCAGAAGGTAGAGAATTTTTAATCTTTTTGGTGACGTCAGACCCTATGTATAAGGTGCTTGTTGGCTCAACAAAGCCAGGTGAAACTCTGAAAGTTCTTCTCTAAGAGGGCTTCATGTAATTCCTACGAGTTTACTCCAGTTACCAGCTAGAGAAGTTTCTCCGTTAGCTCACGTGATAGAGACCCAAGCTTTTAGCTTTGTAGTCCTGGACTCAGTCTCCATGATGGCTGTCTATAGAAGCACTGGCCTACTTGAACAGGTTGAGTAGCTAGGTGCCTGGAGAGTGATACCTGATGTTTCCAAGGCACGCTTTAGAGCGGAATCTCTTTGCCGAGTGGATCTGTTGGCAGGTACCTTTTCCAAACTGTAAAGGGGAGGGGAGGAAAGGCTGCTGGATGTACAACTTAATTAAGGGAAGAGGAACGGGTGAGCATGGACATATACTGGTATTAAGGGGAGGGCATTACTGCCCTCGGTGACGCTGAGGGGTGGGAAAGGGGGCGGAGGACTTGCTATTCTCTCATTGTGCACCTGTGCTGCTGGACCAAGATGGTGATACACACTTCTGGTTTTGATAGCACAGAGCTTGTCGTCATAAGCTTCTTTGGAGAGCATGGAGGGTGAGTGGTGGAAACAAAAAGAAGGGAAATGAGTCGTTGGAGGAGGAAGCTAGTTGGTCAACTCCGTAGGTATGGGAGGGTGTCCCCCTCGAGGAGGGTAAGCGAGAGCCTTGGGAAAGCAGTTTTCAAGACATAGGCCCTTGTGTTGTGACATGACCTTGGGCCCAAGAACACAGGGTGGACCCAGAGGGGTGGTGCCTAGCTTATCCTTTAGTTCCTGGAGTAGGGGAAGAGACCTGTTGGAGGCCACATACTGCCTACACTTCCTACCACTGTAGTAATCTTGGAAGGAGGATCCCTTTAACAGTTAACACTTGACAACAGCTGTTCCAGAACCTTCTCTGGAGGCATTCCAGGGAGCCCTATGTGAGATTGCAATGCTATGCCCACACAATGAAGTCCCACCAGCCATTGGTCTGGTGAGCTAAAGACCATCACTACCATTGTCAGGGATGGCTGGGCTCAGCTGTGCTGTACAAACTCTTCAGAGGAATCACAGATGGAACAGACCCTAGTCCTCTGACTTTTTATGCAGCTGGCAAGATACTGTGCGCGCCACCAGCTGGAAACAGCCACAGCTGTTCTTCAAGAGCTGGCAAGCCTCTTACATGCCCGGGATATCACACCACTAAAAAGGAGTGTACCATCTCTGTCCTCTGGCAAGAAGGAACTACCCCCAAATATTAGTACTGGCATGGAGGATTAAGGAGAAAATGAATATTTATAAAGTGTTTTGACATCCTGCAGTGAAAGGAGCTACATAAATTGCAAAGTTATCATATTTACATGAGCAATCATCAGTATCTCATACTGTACCTCAGGTGAAGATCTTCTGAGAACTTTAGACAGGCATAGATGAATTCTTTAATCTGATTGTAAACTTTAGGCACAAACTCAGAAAAGGGGAACTTCTTTGGAAACGGTTGCTGTAAAATGCAGGAAAGAATTAAAATAAGGACAACAGCAGAAATTTAACAGGGAAAAGCACCATTCCCAGCAAAACCTAGAGTGTGGTAGCTGCTTTCCAGCTCCATGCTTTCAAATTAATTCTAATATTCAGCCAGGTTATGCAATAAAACAACAAGCCAGCATTTATTGTATGTTATACAACCGTTTCAGCCAAGTGAAGGACCAGATAATCACTCACAAATGGCACCGTACTGGGCCTGGAGAGAAATCTGCAGCTAGAAGGGAACAGTCAGAGGAACATCTCACCCATACCCATTACCAGCTCCCTTATTCATAAAAGGAAAATACTGGAAGACTCCTCAATGTTGATTTACCACCGCGCACGGCACAAGACATTTTGTTCTCTGTCACCTCTTACTGTTTCTGCCTAAGGCAGGCACTGGCTTACAACACCAATAGCAGGGAGGAAGCAGAGGTCATGTCCTTCAAATCAGCCTCTTACTAGTTTGGCTTCAACCACAGCCTAGACAGGGCCCAAGGGTCCAGAGCACAATGGTGAAGAAACTGGATGCCAAACAGATGGGGAATGGGAAGGGGGGTAAATAATGCCCAAACACCTAACTTGGATTGAACTCCTTCCCCCCGCAAGCCAGTTTGTAATTACACTCACCAGGCCGGGAGCATACATTTGCCAGAGGCTGAGCGCAAGCCAAGCATGGTTTAAAGGGACACTGTGACACTGTTCAGGTCAAATTTGGCCCTACTTTTAGAGTTTTGTGAAGCCCAAGCTTTTACAAAACCGAAGGCATCGTTATATTTTAAAATTCTGCAGAAATTAAAATAAACCAAGTCAATAGAAACACTTCCATAAAATCAAAATGAAGTTCCAATGGAAACATACTTTTAAAAAACAAACATTCCCATGTATTGCAAGCATTGCAGAACTGTGCCAGCGCAACGATCCAAAAGTGAAACTGACTCAATACTGACAAGTCGGCTCTCTTCCTCTAAGCCCAGAAAATGTAAACCATGAAAAGTACACGTGATTTTTTTTTAATTATTTCCATTTTAATAATCTTTGGTGTTGTTAGGAACTAGCTTCTTAATGGTATCCCAACAGGGTCCCCTTTTAGAGGCTTCCTTACCTTTTCCAGCTCCGGATCCTGGAATGGGAACTGTCCTATTATCTTCTTATAAAGTTCTTCATTAGCTACGGGTATAGGACTGTAATTATCTGAATCAAGTATATTTCTGTAAAACATAAGAGAACAGTTACAGTAACCCTTCTTGTGCAGAGAAATAGTGTTACCACCAGGAGCACATCTGTCCAGAAACCGAGCAGAACAGCCAATATCCAAGGTTACTGGCATTCACAAAGGCCTACCATAGTGAATTATAGCAGTGCAGAGCATTTCAAGGTGAGAAATAGGGGACATGTGGCTCTTTAACCTAAAATGGCTAGGCGTGCTGCTCTTACCCAGGTGTTGCCTCTAGCCCCAATCCTTTCCCTACACAAAGACCTCTGATCCGAATTAGTAGTGCTTTCAGTCTGGGTCATTTGGGGTTTTCACTTGGGTGAGTAACCCGCCCACTTTACAGTGAGGACGCAGGCTAAATCACTCGAGCGCTGATGATCCTCCAATGCCTTCCCACAATTCCCCCTCCGAGCCCGGAAGGACAGATACCTTTTCCCAGCATTCACTGACAAAAAAGCCACAGTGCAGCTCAGCTCACTGCAGCACAAAGAACTGGGCGATGTGCCTCCAGAAGCCCTGACATCACAGAGGTGAGTGCAGCACTAGTGAAGACACCGCAGCTCGGGTCTGGCTTTGAAGTGTGGCTGGTTCACACCCAGGTTAGACTATCCCAGTGCTCAGGCCTGAGTGCCAGTCACTCAAGTTAACTCTGCAATGAAGACATACCTTGTATTTTAGGTGGTCAAAGAAGTAGCACAAGTGAATGTATCACATGGATATCACTTGTGATGAGCGCTCTGAGGCTGACAAGTCATTTGAGATAATTACTTGCAAGGCCCAACCAAACCACAAGCCAGAGTCTAACCAGGTGACCATCAGGCAGGTATATAGGCTCCGAATGAAAGCAGTGACTCCAGTCTGCTCCACGTCTCTACTTTGTTGGTAGTTCTGACAGACTGCTCCTATGCCAGCCTGCTCCTGCCCCTGCTTCAACCTGTGCCTATCTCCGCTCCTGCTCCAGCCTTCATCTATTCCTACTCAAGCCACGGCAGGTCACCCAGACCGCAGACTGCTCCCCGACATGCTCACCTCTGGTGACCGAAATGGAAATCCCCCTGGCAGTTGGTCCGCAACCTTCAGGGTCAGCTTGCCCAGTTGCAACAGGAGAACAATTCCCTCTGCTCCCAAATCCCAGCAGATCCAGTACTGCCGGCAACAGTCCCTCTGGAACATGGCCCAAAGGTTCCACGGCAGCTGCCAGAAGTTCTGTGGTTTTATTAAATGCTGCTTTTTGTTCTGGATGCATCCCGCAATGTATCCCGATGACCAGACCAAGATGGGTCTTCTCAGTTTATTGATCAGTGAAGCCCTAGAATGGGTCTTGCCACTTCTGGAACAGGCAAGCCTGGTCCTTACTAATTTCAATGAATTAATCTCATACCCTTTCGGTCCCATTTGATGATCCGAATAGCACTCGTGTGGCTGAAGCTGCCCTGCAGTTTCCCAAACAAGGCCTTTGGCCTGTCCTGCCATATGCCGCCTACTTTCAGTGTCTGGTTGCCGATACATCAAGGAACGAGGCTGGCCAGGTCTACCATTTCTGCCAGGGTCTGAACGATGATGTAAAAGATGAACTGGCCTAGGTCAAGCCCCCACTATTCTGAACTCATATTGAATTTTGCATTGGATCAAGAGTCATATGAGTGACTCCAAGAAAAAAAAGACATACCTGTAACCTCAGCCAAGCCCTGCTCCATTGTGGCCATCTGCAGGGACTGCTCCAAAGCTAGAGCCTATGCAGACCCGTGCAACATGAAGGCACTTCATGGGTGAAACAGCCTTTGCCTATACTGTGGTGGACAAAGCTCCTTTGCCACGGAGTCCCCCCCCCGTAAATCCAGGCCCTTGACAAATCTAGGAAATGACCAAATCCAGCCCCATTAGAGGGGTCCCAGCTGCACATGACCATGGAATCGAGTTCTCCACACAAGCCCTCTCTTCTGCCATCACATATCTTGGCAGCCGCTGTGTTGGTCATGGTCAACCTGCTTATAAAAAGTCACATTTTGTGCCATATTTTCTCACTGCAGAGGTAACACCCCAACTGTTTTACAACCATATCTTGAAACTCCATGGTCTACCATGTAATTTTACATCTGATCTTGGGGTACGTCTTCACTACCCGCCGTATCGGCGGGTAGCAATCGATTTATCCGGGATCGATATATCGCATCTCGTTAAGACGCGATATATCGATCCCCAAATGTGCTCACCGTCGACTCCGGAACTCCACCAGAGCGAGCGGCGGTAGCACAGTCAACGGGGGAGCCGCGGCCATCGATCCCGTGCTGTGTGGACCCCAGGTAATTCGATCTAAGATACTTTGACTTCAGCTACACTATTCGCATAGCTGCAGTTGCGTATCTTAGATCGATCCCCCCCAGTGTCGACCAGCCCAAAGACTGCAATTCATTTCACATTTCTGGTGAGAGTTGTTTGATCTCCTGGACGTGGATCAGCATGTCTCCTTGGCTTATCACTCCCAGACCAATGGACGGATGGAATGAGTGACCAAATACTTGAACAATACCATCATTTGCTTTGCGACCAGGGGCTGCTAACAGGGAGTTTC